CCTATTGGACGAGTACTGACCTTGGAGGAAGCCGTATTAAGTAGGGTGACCACAATCCGTCTAATGAGATGCTCGCATTAGTGGGCTGGACTCAATTCGTCTAGTCATTGGCTCTTAAGACCAACTAACAAGGACCTCAATGCAGTGACTGTCGTTAGGCCGCCATTCCGGACCAAGCCGCCCTAGCGCATTGACGTGCGGTCCGACAGTCCAATTCCTCCTACCGATTCTCATTCCTTCTCTACAGAATAAACTGGTCCTACCACTCTTGCCTTTCCATTACTTCTATTCTCCTACGGAACCGGGCCCGAAGATCTTAGTGACAGGGTCAAACCGTATTAACCTTAGTTCCTTGATAAGCCCTTCCTGGGGTCTGAGCAAAGGATTGTGCTTCAGAATTCGAAGACGTTTTTCAATGTCTCTTATTATTCTTAACGATGGTATTTCTATAGACTTCCATGTTGGACGCTAAGCAGAGTTAATGAACTACGTTTCGTATTCATTTATAGCCTCTTCAGCCAGTCATATTCCTGACTAGCGCATCTGGGCTGGAACAGGTAGGGAAATGCATGCGGTCAAACTGATGAGTTAGCAGCGTCCGTAAACCGAGGTTCCAGCAAGGTCTCCTCAGTATACAGGCATTATTAGAAATGGATTCAGCGGACACTTACTCGACAAAAATAAAAAATAAGAATCCATTGTGCCTCCAATCTTGCCCGAAAATTGAATTTTGTTTGAGAAGCTGACGATTTTATTGCATCTGGCCTAATTTACGAATTCAAAAGATATTAAAGGGGACTAAGGAAGTGTATGCTAGCGGCCGAATAAGTCTGTCAGTATGTAGTGGACCCACTCTGCATGCATGCTCAACCTCTCGCGACTGCTGGCAAGTGCGCCTGCACCAGTGTCTGCCTACCCCAATCCGGTCTGGCCAATCACCTCTCTGCGGCTGGCTCACAAATAACCACGCTGTAAACGCTTTGATGACACCCGCACCCTTACACATCGGACACAGCCCCCTCGTGGGTAGTCATGCACTCGTCCGACTGTCAAAATCCTCCAACCTATTCTCCACGGTGTGTGTGTGTGTGTTTGACCATCGATTTCGATTAAGTCCACCAAGGGCACCAACAGGTTGGTACAGAAGGTGACAGTCTCAGGCTTTATTTTTTGAAGTGGTAGAGGACGTAGTTAGCGGCTCCGCACTCTTCACCTTCTTCCGGAGTCTCGAAGACTAAACGGGGACGACGTGGGCTGCTGTAGCAAATGCAAGCCAATACACCGCCTAACTTAGTCTTAAGTGACAGTAGACTTTGCGCGGGTACTACTGTGCTATCTATCATCACTCACCTATTGTTGGTGTCTAGCCCGACTTTAGCAAACCAGGACTGGTATTGCTACTTCTAATAATGCTTACTAGGGTGTAACTTAGTGATAATACTTGGTTCTGGTACTGACTGTTTTGTAAGTCAGATGTGACGCTGATTAAAGTCAACACTTGGCTCATATCCCCTCAATCTCGGCAAGAATTCTAGTAGTACTGGTGCTGGCACTGACGCCACCATTTATCAGAGGTGGCGCTGATTGTGCCAACGCTAGGGCTCATATCCCTTTGGTCTCAACAAGGAGTGTGACTCTGGGTTTAGCTATTTCGGGTACGTAAATGCTTGGGGTTCTGAGCACAGCAGCGTTTGCCTTGGTTTCCGCATTCTCAACTCGATCCATCGGGCTGTGTACGTTTATCCTAGGTGCGGACTAAGATAATGCTGCTATAGGTACGTGCCTATGCTAAAGTGGTAATTTCTACTTG